GTCAAATTTCCCCCCCAAATTAATTTTTATTTACACTTTTTAGCCATTGATTACAATGATTAACAAAAAAAATGGTCTACTAAAAATGTTTGTCCACTATGTAAACTAATAAAATTCTTAAGACAATTTTTTTAATTTTAAAATATTTGAACGAATAAAATTGAAAATAAATACATTTACAGTAATAGTACACATGACAGAAATTTAGACCAGCTGTGACGATTAAATCCTTGGATGCATGGTGGTCTAACACCTTTTAACCCAAGAGGGTAATTCAGATTACATCGAAAACCAGGACCACAATCAAAAATTAAATTGAATAAATCTTGAATGTCATTTGGGAGATAGCGAGTCAAAAGTTTGGCTTAAGCTTCCGAGTAACTGTAGTACTTGACCTAATTAATTTTGTTTTTACCTTGTGATATTGACAAAAGCTGACGATCACTGGTAAGCAGACTCCAGGTGCTGGATTACCCTTGTCCACTATTAATGGAACTGACCTTGTTGTTGAAGAAGTGTTATTTATCAAGGGAGGTGTTGTGTTCCCACTGATAACTTCAACGGCTGCGATGGCAAAACAAGTTAATTAAATTTTTTTTTAAATTTCTTACGTAGCATAAATTAAGGATTCTGTTTGTATTTTAATATGCTAACAATATTATATTTATTAAAATAAATTATGCTTATATATATAACCAATGTATGAAAATATATATCATTATATCTTTTTAAAGTAGTATCCAATAAAAGTTTTAAGTTTTAGTACTTTTATCGACTCCATCTTAATAATAAACATTTTATTCTTACACATACGGATTTTTTGTTGTTGTGAATGCAATGTAAGTTTGATTAATCGTCGGGTAAAAATATGCTAGTAACGGAAATAAACTGGTTATTGACAAGACCTTTTTGTATATTAATTAACTGAAAATTAAGAACTCCTACATGTTGTTGGTTCAGTTTTTCATTTTACATCTATTTTACATCCACCTATCGATTTATCTAATTACTACGATATTTTTTATCATACCATCAAATACTAAAATTATATTCTTAACATACACAGTTATTATGCTTCACAGGAAAATATTTACAATTGAGACAATTAATTTTGAAATCAGTATTATTAAGGAATAACTGTGAGAGAACGTAATCTCCTTGAGGATTCAAAAATAAGCTCCTTTTCCCTATTATCAACTGCTTCTAAAAAATGAAAAAAGCTTGTATATTTTATGTAGTTCTATCTATTTTCCCTCAAAAACGTTTAATTTATTTTTATGTCCTCATTTAACAAATTATTCAGTATTTAATTTTCTACAGATAATCTGGCTCTAAAACTTATCTTGTCATGTAAGTAGTAAATTGTATAACGATAAAAAATTACAAGATCTACTAAAATTGAATATAAAGATGTATTACTGTTGCATTCTACAGTTTAACCTTTACGTATAAAAATAATATTTTTATGGTATATTATGCTTTTTCTCTAAACAAAATTTTGGGAGTACCAGTAAAAAAATTTTAGTTGAAACTTTTTTTTTAGTAATAACCAATGGTAGATGATCAATAAGTAACTTTTCAATTTACTAGACATTAAAATATTCGCTCAAACGTACCATTAAATTCATTACAACTCTTAATCAGAAGATAAAAACTATCGACGGAAATTTTTTTTTTTTAAGCATTATCCAACATAGTGCAACATCCTTGGTAAAAAAAAATTTTAAATAAAAATAAAATAGTTTTATCTTCAACAGCAGAGCAATAACCAAGATACATTAATTACAACTGCAAGCGTTTCTGACATTGTGGAATTTTTGTAATATTCTGGATTGCTCAGCTAGAAAAAAATGATCAAACGATCCACACGTGTAGCAAAAAGTGGGGAATGTCATAACTATATCTGCGTAAAAAATTATCTTTCCCATACATGAATGGCTAAAAAAATTAACACCTCACAGCTCAACCTCTCTTTTGACCAGACCATATCGTTATAGATATACGTCTCTTGACAAGCAACTGCCCGCCTTTCCAAGAGTAAATTATTTCAACTCGCCGCATGGACACTGGGTATACGTAGCGCAAAGCAAAACGAGAAACAGGAAAAGGATTCCAGGGGGGATGGCTTGGGGTCAAATGAGATTTTCACCAATTAAACGAATCACGGCGCTACACGAATTCCCACTAGGCCGTTACCTCCATCCCCTCCCTTTCTTTCTACCTTGCTCGCAATTTCATTCCTTTCCTCCCTTTGCTCTGTGCCTAATGAAATTCGCTTGCTCGCTCGCTATCCATGTTTTTCTGTGGTTTTAAACTCCTGGCTTGCTACCTCGGACTTTTATGCCAGGACTTGATTTTGCTGGAATTCATGCTTTTGTTTGCCCAACTCGCGTTTTAGCTAACTCATATGATTAGCATCTTCGTCATTGATAGGATGGTAATGAAACAGTGAAAATCGATTTCATATACATTTTTATTGCGATGGATGCAGTTTTACCCATTTGCATGCGTTAAATTCTATTTTTTTGCGCGTTTAGACTATGTTTAAAAGAAACCATTTTTTATCTGATTCATTAATTTATTATAGAAAAGAATTATCGAATGAATCATTTGTAGCTAATATCTATTTTATCTTGACGTTTTTTCATGACAAAATCATCGAGTATTTTAAGATCAATAAAAAAGTTTGTTCATTGTTGTTTATTTTCATTCGTCTTTTTATGGTTATTCAACGATTTTAATTTACTTATTTCGTGTATTTTTCAGTAATCCACTTTGATGTTAACCCATCCTTTCACGTATCCTCAAAAAAGTATCAAAACAAAGAATCACAAAGCTATATATTTAAGGTAACATTATGCTATTAAAACATTAACTTAACGTTCAAATTGACTAGTGTAATTTAAAAAGTAATGGTGAGTTTTTAACTCGAGACAATGGAAAAAAATTAAATGAAAAAATTGCAACTGTAAGGAAATTGAAACGTAAAGAAAAAAAAAGAAAAAAAGAATATATGAAAATTCTTTTTACGTCCAACAAATATTTTCAACAAATTACTTTCTCCTACAAACGAGATTACAAGTGCATGGGAGTAGTATTAAATTCCAAATAAATTGTTATCGAATTGATTTCTCTAAAGTAGCTTGGGAAAGACTCTTTGTTATTTTACCCCGAGCAAGAGGATTATTTGCCTCCTTTTTCCAACGCTTTGTAAGCCGCGCTCGCAAGGAGTTAGCTTTCACGTCGGTGCTTTGTGTCCATTTGAAAGAATCTTGTCTTGTTTCTTTCAAATGGAGCACAGAAGCTCTCAGGCTCTGTGATCTCTGATGCGAATATCCTCATTTCGCGAAGTAGCTCTCGCTAAAAGGAACCTAAAGGCTTTGATAACTTCTTGCGTATTAACTCTGCTGCATGGCACCAACGTTAGGTGACTAATGCTTTATTTTGTTGCGTCGAGAAAAAAAAGCATTGTTTGATTTTCTATGGAAAAATTTAATGTATGTTGATAATGAAAAAAAAAATCTCATTCTTACCTTTGTAGTAGACTGCCAAGCCTGAAAGAATCAATAGCACTGCCAGCGCGTTCAGTAATACTTGGCTAGATCGAAAGTGAAGCCGTCCTCTGGTCACGTAATGGCTGCTTGGCCTCCTTATGTCTTTAACAATCTGTAAAAGTTAAATTTCAAACAAATTTACATTAACTTTATTCATCATCACATCATTTTTTTGTCTTTCAGATTCTGGAAAATTTTTTTTCATTAACTCTCTCTCGTACGATCCTGATTTTTAATTCTAAGTATAATTAATACCTGCAGTATGAAAAACTCTGAATGGAGATAACATCGGGATATGGTTAATATGTTGTATTCTTGATTTCGTATTAGATATTAAAGTAGATCGAAAACATATGGCTAATCATCGTTAGTAGCTGACGGTTTACTTCACTAATTGCCAATTGTTCAAAGATTACTAAAAATGGGTACCAAAAGTAAGTTAAAATTTAAAAGAATTAATTAATTTAAAAGCAAACTGAGCAATGTGTGTTACATTGCATACAAAATTTATTTAGCTATAGAGAATATTATGTAAAAAGTTACAACTGCTTTTTTTGACCCTCAGTGTGCTATTTTTAACCGTGTTTCAATGTGCAAATTAATAGCCTTGCAATGACTTCCCGCACAGATGAGCAACATCCGAGCTTTGTACATGGAATTGGAATTTTTTAAATGCGTAAGAATCAAATCAGTTATAACATTACGGAGAACGACTCGATTCTGTTAAATTTCCACTGATCACTGGCAATCAATATCATTCCTCTGTAACTTTAGCGTTTCGTGAGCTGCACACCATGAATAACCAGTCGCTCCAAAAATCACATTTTCGGTGAAAATCTCCTCATTGTACACAGCAAAAATAACGAGCTATTCCTTGATTTCAACAACTTTTCAATGCATGAGCAGAGCCCTGGCCCGATATTCCAGACATATAGCTGCCGAAGGTATTGGCGCGGGGAGAAAGCCATTAAGCGTGAAATCGATATTTTGAAAATCCATCCTTTCAAGCCTCTGCTCCTCTGTATGCTTCTCCCAGCAATCATATCGGGAAAAGCCGCGCTTCGGAGCTCGAGCTCGAGGGATCAGAGCATCGAGCATGCAGACGCAGGTACACACAAATGATACGTCGTCAGGGGTGGAGGGGAAAAGGAGTTGAAATCGGCTTTTAACGTCGGGGATCGCTAGAACTTTGACCAAAGAGACTGACGTGAAGGGCTTCCGCGAACGATCGTTCCTTGATATCCGCGAATCTAGTAAACTATATATATATGCACGATTGGTGCACCAAGTGGCCACGTGATTCGACCGACGATAGTACTACACTTACCCGATGATGTAGGGACATGTTGCTGCCGTTCTGAATCCTGACGATGGTCTGCAAATTCACGGGCGTGCTTATTGATTTCGTAATCGGACTCCCGGGTGGATTTTGCGCCGGCTCCGGTGCCATCGCTCTACCTGTTGACACATGGGTGTTGATGGGGACATTGTTTTTTATCAAGTGCGTGCTACGTGGTGTCTTGTAAGTGCTGTGTATTAATAATGTTGTGAAAATGTTTGAATGTTGCAAGTATGGGTGATTGAAAAAATCTTGGGCATTTGGAGAACATCGAATTGCGTGCAGAGATATTTTTTCTGTTGTTGTAACGTGTGATTGTTAATGATGAAGTTAATCTTCTGCTTTTCGTGTTTTTAAACGGATAATAGAATGTTAACATTTATTCAGACTCATAAATTAAATCGCGTATCGTCAATTTTCAAAGCAAGTAGTGTAGCCTACGTTAGGTCAGACGTAAGCTTTTTCGTTTTCAAAAAGATTTTAACCATAAAAATCTAATTCTTTTGTGGTTAACATTGCTAGTTGTTTTAGAGTCTTTTAGATTGTTTGATTTAAAGGTTAATAAAGTTTTAAACTTTAATTATGAACGTAAGTAACATAATCCACGTTTGATCAAACATGCACCTCATCATTTCAAAACAGTGTAATAAAAAAATTCTCCTCATAAGAAACTAATTTTTTTTAGCAAACGTTGCTGCAGAGTATGAAACTAGATACTTAATAAAATTTTGAAAATAATGGATACTAGTAGTATAACCTAGGTTTGGTCAGATATTAATTATTAATTTCAAAATAATGTATTCAAAAAAGATTCCATAGTACAAATCTAATCAGAAAGTGAATAAATTTTTTTCAGTTATGACTGCAAGTAGTACAATCTAAGTTTGATCAGGCATGCGCTTTTTATTTTGAAACATTAAACAAAAAAAGTTTCATCTTGAAAAATCTAATTATTATTTTTTTTTATTTTCAGTAAACGTTGCTTCGCAGAAACAAATCAGATAGTATTTTAAACTTTTATCATAAACACAAGTAGTATAACCGATGTTTTGTCAGGCTTCCATTTTTACTTTGAAACAGGTCCAAAAAATGTTGCAGCCTTAAAAATCTAATTTTTGTACAGTGAACATTAGAGTACAAAACCAGAAAGTTTAGGCAAACTTTATGAATGCAAGTAGTATAACCTTCATTTGGTCAGACATAAAAAAAAAATTTTGTCGTACAAAAATTATATTTCAGTAAACACTCATTACTTGTTGTTTCAGAGGGTAAAATTGGAAAGTGAATAAAATTTTAGAAGTTATAAATGCAAGTAGTATAATCTACGTTCGATCAGACATGCGTTTTATATTTCGAAACAGTATATAATAAAAGTTTGCTTCATAAAAATCTAATTTTTTTGCAGTAAACGTTTATTACTTATTATTTTAGAGTATAAAATCAGAAAGTTAATGCAATTTTAAACCTTAATCATAAATTTCAGCTCCTATAAGAACAGTTTATGACACGCAAAATAACGTTAAACCCGTATGAAGACCTTAAATGGCTCAAAAATAAATCAATACAAAAAATTGATGTTATTGTTTCTACATGTAGTCATGGTTCATACGTTAATTTTATTAAGGCTTGAACGTGAGCTCAGAAGTAATGATTTCGATTAATAGACGGTAACAAAAGACACAAAGACGAGCATCGAAATCTTAATAAAAGTATAAGGTATTTACCAACTATATTATTTAGATATACTTTTTAATGTTAGAATTGATATAATACATTTTGATTGACAGTATCAAATTGAAAAAAATCTAATTCTTGACTTTAGTTAAAGCCCAACTGAAGCACCTTATCAAACGTCACATCGCAGCCACGAGCGTGAATGATAATTGCAATACGTGTAAAAATTTAATTGGAACGAAAAACAATTCCTTTCACCAAGGAATACCAGAGGCCGTTCCTTAAAGCCTTGTCAAAATCTGTTCACTGGAAACCGAGCTTTGTAATTTATCTTAGTGATGCGACAAATTTTTTGCAAAAATTCAGCTAAAACCCAAACTCCATCGATCAACTCCCCCGTAAAAAAAAAAAAAAAAAAATTCTCTCTCATGAAACTCACCCGGAATCTTGCCATTACTCTGCTTGTGAGGCAGCAACGGCTGCTCCATGCTCCCCTTGCTGTTGTACCCGGGCGAGCTCGTCTGGCTGAAACTGTCGGACGAGACGTTGCTGTCCTGCCTGGCGTTGACGGGTTTCGTGGTCGCCGAGGCTGCTGGGCTGGGGATGGAGCTCGCGATCGAACTGAGCGGCGGAGGCAGGTTCGTCTGAGTCGCCTTTGGCAGCTTCTCTGGTTTTTCAATCCCCCGGACGCTTGATCGCTTTACCGTCGAAGAATTTTTAATTTTTTTAGCACCTACTAAGCATAGTACGCGAGTGCGAAAAATTTTCTTAAACCCCGAGGTAGTATTACCACGCATTCCTCAGTGGAATTCCAGCGTGGGTTCAAGGGATTTTTCAAGGAAAGAGCTACGGAAGAAGGGCAGATTTCATTGGATTTTAATACGCTCTGGTCCCTCCAAGATATCGACACTCACGTCGAGGGCCGAAAATCAAGTGAAAAATTACCATTCGGAATTTCGATTTGGTAAGACAGCGCTCTTTTAAAGGAAGATTTCGAAACTTTGTTTTTAACTCAAGAATTTCCACGAGCACGCCACAGGTACCGTGAAATTATCCCTCTCAACGATCGCTCGAGAAAAGCTTTCTCTCTTGGCTCACTCCTATAGATGTATGTATATACGTATGTACCTCTGGCCTGCTTGCGGCGCAACTGTCCTCGAGCTCGTGCAGCCGGCTCTCGAGTCGCCTCGAGGCCGCCCGCATCTCGGCGAACTTTGCGTCTGATGGTGACTCGTCGTCATCGTCCTCGTCGTCCTCGTCACCGGATCTCGGGTGCAGCTGCTGAAGCAGCTGTCTCCGGCGTATCGGCGATCGCTGGCCCTTGTCGCCCCGCTTCGGTGACCTGAGCATGCCAAAGGATTTTCGATTTTGTAGAATTTTGAGCTCCCAGACGCTCTCAATGCAGGAAGGATAATATTGCAACTTCGAAGTGTGTTTGCAAACTATACGTAGCAAGACGAGGGTGGGAATATAGTTTAACGGCGCATTAAAATTTGCTCGAGGAAATTGAAACTTTGGTCCTTGCCCCCTCCCTTCCTCTCTCTCGGCTTCAATTAAACGAGGATTTCATTCGAGAGCTTTCTAATGGCCATTGCGCTCGAGCTTCCCTTATTAAAGAGAACTTAACGCGAGATCAACGCGAGTTAGAGCTATTCCCAATTACTTCGGATCACCTTCCTGCACGTCAAATTTCCCCCCCCCCCTCCTTCGTTTTGTAGGAATTTAATAAAGATGCCATCTCACCGTCATTTTTGATGCAAGTTTTTTTTTTCTGCTATCTTGATGCGAAATAAATTGATTCTTTTTACTTTTCCTTCTTTTTATTGATATAACATATGTTTCAAAATATCGGTAAATTTAATGTATAATGTAATAACAATAATTATTTATACATTTCAATGATTAACAATTCCAACATTTATTTTAGTTTCATAGTTAATTGTTTTAATAAATATTCAGTATAAACCTTTATAAAAAACTAAAGTAGTAATCGCAATAAATAAAAATCATGAGTGTCAGCAAGCAAAATAATGAAAGTTACTGTTTGAAACGTGTGTCGTTATCCAATGAAAAAAATTGAAATAAAAAGAAAAATCGTAAGTGTAGTATCGATACCATTTAAAAATTCTCCAGAGAGTCTCCAGACGCCTACCTGCTCGTTCTCAAAGAATTGCCAGTACCACTGATCTTCCGTAGCCTCTTGCTCAAATCCTTGGACGCCTGATCGAGGGCCCGATCCCTGAGGGCTTTCTCCTCGGCATCGAGCGAAGCTTCGTAGGAACTCACCCCGGGCCCCGAAACGCTGTCCTGCCAGTTTGGCCTGATGTGCGTCGACTCGTCGGACTGGGATGCCTGGGCGTGTGACTGTTGCGGCTGGACGACTGGGATAGGCCGCTCGTAACGCGAGCGCTTTGGGATCGGTGGCTTGACGTTTGCCGGCTGTTAAGTAACATTTAGAAGACAGTTGATCGATATTGCTGAGTATATGCACGAGTGATGACGCGAAGAGAGCAAAGGTGATGTGGTGGTTATTGTATTTTGTGCCCTGGGGATTCTCTCTTGGTACTACTTAAGTTCGAGGATAAGCTTGCGTGGCTCTGCGAATCGCATATTTTTCACAGCTAACTGGAAGGGGAAGAGGAAGGAATGAGCATGATAACTTTTTTGAATATTTTTTTAAAGAAAACTTTTTTAATTACTATTAAAAGCAGTAATGAAAAAATAATTTTTCAGCAAAATTAAAACTTTGTAATTTAAAAAAAAATTATTTTAAAACATTTGTAAAACGATTGTATTTGCCCTTGTTAATCGTATGTGTATTTGTGATGTATACCGTATCAACTGTTATTTGTGATACTTTAAGTAAGCTATTCCAAATGAGAAGCAAAAATTTTTTTTTTTTTTTTTTATCTTTCTACCATAGTTTTGACAGTCTTTCGAAGGATCCTCAATAACACCAAGTAATAAAAATCGTAAGACCTTTTGATTGGAAAGTGAATAAAATTTTAGAAGTTATAAATGCAAGTAGTATAATCTACGTTCGATCAGACATGCGTTTTATATTTCGAAACAGTATATAATAAAAGTTTGCTTCATAAAAATCTAATTTTTTTGCAGTAAACGTTTATTACTTATTATTTTAGAGTATAAAATCAGAAAGTTAATGCAATTTTAAACCTTAATCATAAATTTCAGCTCCTATAAGAACAGTTTATGACACGCAAAATAACGTTAAACCCGTATGAAGACCTTAAATGGCTCAAAAATAAATCAATACAAAAAATTGATGTTATTGTTTCTACATGTAGTCATGGTTCATACGTTAATTTTATTAAGGCTTGAACGTGAGCTCAGAAGTAATGATTTCGATTAATAGACGGTAACAAAAGACACAAAGACGAGCATCGAAATCTTAATAAAAGTATAAGGTATTTNTTTTTTTTTTTTTTTTTTTTTTTTTTTTTTTTTTTAATTTAAACTTGACGCGAAAGTAGTGTTGCGATTAACAGTGATTCACACGATAATTTTCAACTTTGGCAGGTATTAAAATGGTACTTCATCAATTGTTGTGGGAAAGTATTAAATTAAAACTCGAGGTCATAAATTTATCTTTCATTTTAGGTCAAGCGTGTTGGAAAGTTATTGAGCTTGTTAAGTGTTACGTGCTTTTTACGTGTCGATGTATGACTTTCTTGTGGGTAAAATTTTGTATTTGGTTGAAAATCCATTGTTTTTAACATAAAAAAGAGTTTTTTGTGACGTGCACATTCTTAATTTATGTATTTTCTATTTGTTTATGTAAATAATAATTAATGAATAAAAGTGTGCAATGATAATTAAAATATTTACACTTTTCAGTTTCTAAAAGTATACAAAGTATGTTCACAAATTGTTTAAACATTATAAAACACAAATGAAGAAATCAATTTATGATAAAAAATCAACGAAGGTACACGGTCAAAAAATATAACTTTTCAGACCAAAATTTAGCAATACAATCTTGATATATAATTTGTAACATGAAAAAATAATAAAAACACAGTTATTGTCAATGGCCAAACTCAAACTAATTTAATTTCAATAATAATTTGTAATGGTAGTATTAAACTTATAAAAATTAATTGCACATTTTTATCAGTAAAACTATTGTTTTGATAAATATTTAGTTTACAATTAATCAAAAAATGGTGAAAAATAATTATAATAAATTAAGAATTGAACAAGTCTATAAACATTAAAATAAAATCGCAATGATAACCTACTTTATCAATTTGGCAGGGCAACATTTATTAAGTCATGGGTTTAATAAAATTAGTAATTGATGATTTCAACAAATGCTTACCGTTGCCGAGTGACGTCTTGGTAGTGGAGGTGGTATGACATTATCCACTGAAAATGACGGATCTTGGAATAGGGAACTCCGGGCTGGCAGTCCCACACTGTTGGTGCGATTTTGTCTGCACAATAAAAGTCTTTATTTTTTTTCAAAATTAAAGTAAAGCCTCTGACAGATTAGTTTCTGACTGGCTCGTTAACTTTTACACGATAAGCTTGACCATTTAAAACATTTTCGTAATTCCATTCGGAGGAAAAAAAATTCCTCCCTCTCAATATGCCCAGTACTCTTTCACGACCGCATTGCACGAACATAAGTGTAAAGTAGAAAAAAAAGCACGCCATCATCAAACAAAAGTAACGCATGAAAAGCCTGGAAATTCCATCGCACCCAACATCGATCGACTCGATGCTCCGTCTCTCTTGAATATTTGTAGTCACACCCTCAAATCTGCGGCATAGAAATATCATTGAAAAAAGGGGAGTGGGGAGGATGATCGGTCTGGAAAACCCAGAACCAAAGCCCACCCCCTCCAAGAATTGAAAGTGCGAGCGATGGTGAAAGGGAGGCTTTTTTCCCCTGGATTCTGCCAGCCAGCGATTTTGTTTGATAGCTTACTTTTCGACCACAGCCTTTGAGTGTAAAGGCACTTTGATACTCTATATTGGGACGAAGGGAGGGATGGATGATGGCCTGTATTACTGACCTTGTGGGGTTGTCTAATGATCCGTGAATGGGTCTGGGAGGCAGTTTTGTTAAGTTACCTTGGATTACAATGAGAATACGCGGATTTGGGCGTGAGACCGTAAGGAAACATTTTTATATCTCTGAAAACACCTCTTATGTGGGAAGGATCTTTGTACCTATGATCCCTTGTTACGTTTAAGATAGGCATTATCTCTAAATATCAATATATTTCACATTTTATGATGTAGGGGTTCTTTCCCCCTATGCAAAAGATTTTTACTTTGCTTTTTGTCATTACTTGTATTAAAAAACACATCTTTGTGTAATGTACCATCAAAGACATACATTTACGTCGTAAATTTCTGACATAATGCTAAGGTGGAGGAAGACAAATTTCCTCAGCCATGTGAAAGATTGCTCGAAGAAAAGTTTTTTTTTTTGGAATTTTGATAGTTTGAAATTTAAAGCTCTTATAGTAGGTAAAGCAACTAACGCCTATCCTTCCGACTTTTGCTCGAAAGTTCTTCCTCTATTGTTTTTGTACGTAAATCACACCGATAACTCAATGTCTTGGAGGAGATCTTGGGATGTCTCTCAGTAATTCGAAGACTGTTGCGATTCAAGAACATAAGTTTTAGAGGAAATAGTTTGAGTTTCTATGAACTGGAAGAGAGTTATCGATTTTCCAATAGGCGTAGTAGTATTTTAACGATCCCAATTATTCATGATGTGATTTCATTAGAAAATATGCATATCTAAATTTTTGAAATTAATCTTACACTTCAACTGAGAACTCAATGTGTACACACTAGGAAAATTAAACTCTTGATAAAAAAAAATTAATAATAATAAAAGTGTATTTATTAATAGCAAATAAAAACAAATACTTTAAAATTTAAAAAAAATCAAACGTATATTTATTAACGGTAAATGAAACTACTACTACTTAAAAAATTAAAGAAATAAATAATGATTGCATTTTTGTCAATTTCATTAGTTTTGTGATTTGTGTCTTTATTCATTTTTAAGCAAACTATTAAATTGTAGAGTTTTGGCTATTTCTTAATTTTTTTTTATTACGTTTATCATCTAAAAATTTAGTTTTATAAAAAAAAAATATTCTTTTCAGTGGCTGGTCCACAATTTTAATTCGTTTATTTCACATCATTTATTCAGTTAGAAAACAATGAAGCATGTATTTCATGATTTATCGTATTGATCAAGACTTTACTTTGAAATAAAATAAATCAATCTTATAAGTTAATACTGTTATTGACGAATCACATCTAGACATTTAAGATTTAATTATAAAATTTCGAAAATAAAACTTGACGTTAGTTTTACTAAGTTAAATTAATGGCACATTATGTCAGAAGAACGAGTTCTGAACTAAAATTATAATTAAACTTCAGTAAAAACTTTTTCACTATGATATTCACAGTATCGGGCGTGATGATCACATTATCGAGAACACACACACACACGCATATTTATACATACGTACACAGATCACATTACCGAGAACTAATTAAATTTTCACGGACGTGCAACAGGTGTGCGTGTACGCTTGTACGTATACATATATATGTGTGAATTGTCATCGTGAAGCTTATGTACACGTTACCTTGGTTGACGCGTGGGGCTCGTGTCGGTGGCACGTAGGTTCGCTCCGGACATGTTGCTGTCGAGGCCCCTGAAACCCACATAAATTCCAGACTTAAAAATCTCCAGTTGAAACAAATGTATGGCGCGTGACATGAAAAATACATTTCATGTGTACATTTACACGAAAAAAAAAAAAATAAAGACAGAGGAACACATATCGGGTGGCTCACATGTATACTAGCCCATAAAAATCAGGAGGTGCGCATACGAGGACTCCATTCCGATAAAATCCGATTGATTTATGTATCTTTCGGCTCGTTATTTATCCCTTACAGACAGCTTTATGATTTCTCTCCTCCCCCAATCACTTTTTTTTCCATTTGCGGAACATCCCTCACCTGGTTCTCTGATAGATGAAAAAAAAAAAAAATGTAGTAAATAGCGCTATCTCAATCGCCACGCGAACATCGCTTATTTACGCAAAGCCTAAATAGGTACGACTGAATTTTACGTTCTGCACTTAAGGCCGATCGATACTCGCACGTGCGCGCGTGCGGCCATGTACAAGTAACGAGATTTGACTTGGATACCGTGTGCGGCGCACACACGTGGGGTGGAGAGTTGGTATCGCGTATACGCGCTTGCATGAGCATTTCAGTCGAGATATTGGCGTTTACCGGAGGATGAGAGCCGTCCGCCGTAATAAAGGACGATAGGGACGAACTCGACCGCGAAACCGATTAAAAGCATCGGTCGGCTGATCTCAGGACTAGTCTCCTTTCTTTAGCCCCTTTGTCTCTCTCTCTCTCTCTCTTTCTCTTTCATTTTCGCTATCCGTTGATTTCCCACTGTCGCTCTTATCGCTTTCCAATTTTCTTCGATTATTTCAACTCGCTCGGGGGATCCTCCTCGACGCTGGGAACGCTCTGCTTTTCGATTCCCCTGGAGAAACACTATTTTTTCCCTCTTTTTTTTTTTTTTTTTTTTTTTTTTTTTTTTTTTTGTCTCAGAAAACAATCACCAACTTTTCACACTTGCCGGGGTAGTACGAGTCAAGAGCACGCCTAGGATGATTATTATTCGTGGCAATGGGCCCGTCTTCAAAGGCGTGCGTTTAAATTGAGCGCGTGAGTCGCGTTTGATTAGTTCCTTTCAGCTCGTGTGTCTTGCTTTCAAAGTCGGCCTAATAGGTAAGTACATCGAGCGCGTTTGGTTACATTTGATGGGGATTCATAGAGCATAAAGCTACCGTGCGCTTCTGAGCCTTGAGTTTTTGTTCGCGTACCATAGAACTGATTGATTTGAATAGAGTGAAAATTAATTTTATTCGGGAAAATATAAATATTTTGGTTGAAGTAGCTAATTTTCTGTGGTCAAGAGAAACGGTAAAATATTGGGGTTCATCCAGCCATTTGAATTTTTAATTAGAAAAAGAGCAATTTTAAAATCATTAAAGATAAAAGCAAATTTATTAAAGAAATGTGTAGTGCCGCGATGGCAATGAAGTGCTAAAATTTATGCTAAAGGGATGACACGGATACTGTATTGATATTATTGATATGACAAAACCATATAAAACATGATTTACTCGTCATCTCACCAACGCATCATTTTTTACTGATTAAAGCTGGTTCTCATTGAGGCAGTAGTTTGCATTCGTGACTGTATAAAATGGATCAATGCGAGGATGGATTATTTTATCAAAAGCTCCATTCAAACGTGAGAGAGATAACCTTCAATCGATAAACGAATCATGTTTCAAGGATCCTTGTATCACGTAAATTTTTATTCAATTATAAATTCAGTCACAAATAATTGTAAAAATATTTGTATATTTATCCTAGTATAAAAAATTTGCTCCGCAAAATTGTTTGCGTGTAAAAAACAATTTTTCTCTTCGAGGCTGCTCTTGACTTACTACTTACATTGACAATCGAATGAGACAATCAAAGTCCCACGAACTCAACGTATGGTGCGTATAAATATGTCTTCGAGAAATCGATGAAAAATTTTTCCCCGCGAAATCATGTAGATACAAAGAGCGCGGGAGAGGAAAAAAGGAGCTGGGAAGACCTTGAAGGCAAAGCAAACGGGGTCTTTGACGTCGATTGATTGAACTTTGCGCGCGAAGCACTAAAACGTCCGACCTTCCAGCACGCTCGTTCAGATCAAGGGACGAGGATATAAAGGACGATTTGTTGTTCTCGACTTTTTTAAACTTTGCCGTATGCGTTACACGGGAGTTGCGGTATCTTTCGACTCTGTGGTACTATAACTTGAAAGAATTTTTAATTTTCCGTCTCGATGCGAGACGGATGGCTCGTACGCGATACGTTTTTTCGTGTGGCCTGATCGTTGGAAGCCCCAAATAAAGAGAAGCCTTTATGGGTGGAAAGCGGCGGGACAATTTCGACGACATTTGAAAGCTGCCGGTTGGTTTCGTCCCATGTTTTCTTTGACTCGGAGGAGTTTGTTTGATTTTGTTTTTTTTTTCCGTCACGATGGCCGATAATACAGTCTGGAAAGTATCTTACGCGTGAGAACAAAAAAATAGTTCAACGTACAAGTTCAAACAGTAATTTTCAAAGTGACCTTTTTTTGAAACTCAAAGCACGTCTTATTTGAAAAGAGTCTTGTTACTTGTGTCTGATAATTTTTGTAAAAGTGACAAAACTTGTATAGAATTTTTAAAAGAAAAATTAAAAAAACACACGCACACTCTCTCTTTCTCTGCAAGCTCTTTTTTTCCACGACTCGCTTGTGTGATGCAGTCATTGAATGAATAACCTCGCAATTTCTCATTGCACACCAGACATGATTTTCAATCAAGTAAAGTTAATTGACAGCGTAAATAAAACATTTCTATAAAAATCCTGCTCGCACGTCAAATTCAACGATAGCTTATGAAATTTCATATATTCACCGTAAAAGTAGACAAGGAAAACATGATCGAACAAACAACGTAATATGACCAGAAAAACATGTGATCGTTAAATCCCTTGTGTCACCTTGTACTAGCATTATCAAGACGCATCAAGACCTTTCCTCGTATAATACACACGTGCGCTCACCCGACAATAATACATCTCTCTCTCTCTCTCTTTATGAATCGAAAAGCAGTGATATAATCGGATATTGGCTGGATGCATCCTCCCCTTTTCCCTCTCCCTGCTTACTGACTCAGGATTCTTTCCTTTCCCCTAATTCTAGCCCTTAGCATATCGTTCGTATGATTGCCGTGAATGCTTCAGGTCGGATATTCTCGTAATCTCTGTTTCCAGGCGTAGCTTTCCGTTGGCTAGATTTTCTTGATTTTCTTTGGGTAGGGAAGGGAGGCAAATTCACAAAGAGTACCCGAGGACTCAAAGAAGCGAAAAAAAAAAAGATCGAGTGCGCGTTCGAGTTTGTCCGACTAAAGCGCGGCTTTTACTACTTTATTTTTTTAAGCTGCATGTTTTTCATTAGGTATACACGTTTTTATGGAAATATAAAGAAAAAAAATAAATAAACAAATTATGCCCTTCCATCTACATTATGGAACGTAGTGAAGCGTGATTAAGTTTTTGACACATTTGTAATCCTTGACGTGAATGTGGGATCAAAAATAACGTGTGCAGCACTTACGCTGAGAATAAAAGTCTTGGAGAATTAGGTCTTGAATAAGAATGTATTTACTAAATAAATGTTGGAAAACATACTGCCACAAGTAATATTTTATATTGCTCATGTCGATAAAAATTACAAAAGTTCAAAATGTTATTTATCATGTATTTATTTTTTATTATCATTAACTATTGAAAAACATACTCCGACGCATTGCGACTCAGTCTATAACACAGCAATGAAAAATGTCACTTCTGAGGGCTTCCATGATTGATGGAAGCAAGTGTGAAATTGATTACACAGGAGTGTTGGCCGCAGTGGCAAGGCCGGTAATTAAACTCGGTCTGACCGAGTAAACAATACCTACCGACAGAGTATCAAAGCCCAAAGCCTCGGGCCATTAGACTGACGTGAGCTGCAATTAAAGCTTTCAAAAGTAAAAGCTCTTCACTTAGCTAATTTCAAATCCTGCAATAATCACTTTCCATCAACACAAGAAGTGGGTAGAATAAAGTATGCAAAGGTTACCAAAGTCGTCGATATACCAAAGTTATTTGTACGCACCAGGTTTTCAACATATGTTGATAAAGTTCGCTTGTGTGGTTTTTAACGAGATTTTTGTATTTTTAACATTCAAAAAGATATATCTATGGAAAAGTTGTGTATGATGAGCAATAGTATTTTAATTTTGAAATCTTAAATAACCCAATAAATATTTAATACACAAATAAACAAGAAAATAAATTTTTACGTACGCATCTATTTGTGAGAATAAATTTGACATTTTAATTTCAATAATAGTCTGCATTTGTCTTAATTCATGGTTGATTTTTGTTTACTATTAATGAGTCAATCAACCATTTACTGACGAAATTATCGTTCATCAAAATTTATCTGTACATTGCACATGTAATAAAAAAACATTTCGTAATAAGGGTAGTGATTTAAGTGACGTAATATCGTAAAATTAACTTTGGGGCTTGATATTATGTCATGATTTATTAGCAAGATAAGTTTTCAGTTGAAAATTTCCGGAATTTACGCAGGTAAGCATCAAAATTGAGAATGAGTTGAGTATAGTTTTGCTGAAAAAAGTTGTTGTCAAATAAAGACAGTATTTTAAAAATCAAAGGAGAGCTACATTGCTTCCTCATTTCTCCACTTGCCACGTTTCTCACTGTGCAGTGGTGGCAAAGAATAGAGAAGGATTGCACGAGAGGTCATACAAATGGATCTGAAAAAACTGTCACGTCTAAGGACAAAGTTAGGATGAACCTCTAAACTGTTTGACGAGTGGTTCCATACAATTCAGTTGCTCTGCTCTTCACCCGCACCCTAAAGCCGTACTTTATTTAACGTAACGTAAATCTAAAAAATTTTAACCATATATTATTTCCATTAATTATTTTTGCATGAGTGTCAATTTTGTCACCCGAGTGAAGCTAGGGTGTGAAAAATTGCACAAGTGTAACAATCACCGCGCCCCTGAGTGGTGTAAGATACTTTTAGTCACTCAGTGTGTAAAGGCATCAATTTCAAGTGGCTTTTTGCCGCAATCTCCACTGGTATGAAAAGTTAAACTTTGCAAACAATTTGTCAAAAAATATAGTGCAAAAAAAGTACGTTCAAACTATCATGTCAGTTAGACAAATGATCAATTAATACGAGATAACTGTGAAAAAATCACGAGAGGATGATTTTTCACTTGGAAGCAGCTCGCACAGGAAGAGGATACATGAAGCCACCGAGGGAAGAGCTCGACGATAAACAAAGCGACCAAAGCCATTTGTCCCTCACTCTGTCTCCTTCTCCCCCCTCCTCCCTTCGACGCTATATCACTTTCCGAGCGGTCAAGCGTGATCCTCGACCCGTCACGGAGAAAAAGCCACACTCTCTTCCCTACCGCCCGTAAATGACGGCTCTCTCGTCCTCGAGTGAGGAAAACTAGCCGAGCGCACGCCCGACATCTCTCTTCCTTGAAAAGTTCCCGAGTACCGAGGAGTACGCATCCGGGACACAAAGGAATCGCCCTTCCCTCGCTTCCTCTTCGGCCCGCAAACCGATCTCCCGCCATTGTATACCGACAAACCCGAATGTGTGTATGCTCTCTTAAAACGACTGACACCAGAAAGAGGACAAACATTTTTACCCTCCTTTTGTTTAGTTTCCCCTTTGCGATCTTTCTCTTCCTCGTCGATAAATAATTCCAGACGCCTGCGTTTTTAACTTTATTCCTGGCCTATTGATCACGGGTGCCTCTGCAGCGTAAATCGACCATTTTCCCCGCTTTTCCTTTTTATTCGTGCGAAATACTTGAAAATTCAGAGCATACGATGAACACACCTTGTTTGCTGCATTAATTTTTTTTTTTTTTTTTTTTTTTTTTTTTCGAGGTAATTAGTAGAGTTTTATACTTGGACTGCAGTGCTCGCGGGTGATTCCGTCGCAGGCAAAAAGGATAGTAAGGTTTCTTCCGAGATTTTTGAAAGAAAAAACGGATCTCTGGTACAAGTCAATTTTTCGGTCGGCGAAGCCAAGCGCAAATAAAAAGCACACGGCCTCTGGCTGGGAAATATCGTAACGTTGGCGCGTCGTCGGTTTCTCGGGCTTTTCCGGACGATTTGCCAGTACCTTAGCTTCCCAAGCTCTGATTTTCGAGGCGAAGAAGAAAGAAAAGTGTCTTCGGCCCCATTGGGCGACAGCCGTTCGTAAGAATGTATACGTAGCGTCGCAGGGACTTTAGCTTGCGGTGAAGGGAGTTTAGGCGACGCAGATGCGTCGATGGCAAACGAGAGCCATTGGAAGATCAATTCAGCCTTGTGCGCGCGTGTGTGTGTGTGTGTACCTACCGGAGTAATTTCGATTTGCCGAGCTTTCAAGCGTAAGGTGGCACAGTAGGAAAGACAGATGCTGAGTGCCGTCGGAAGGTATGTATACTGCGTCGCGTAGGAAGGCGAGAGAGGTAGTATTCCATTTAAACGACTGGTGCTTGCTGGTTGGTTAAGTTTGTCGAAAAAACGTGTTTTATGGGTGTGCGTCTGCGTGAGGGCGTAAAACGCGAAATTCGTTTCGTAAAGGTGATTTTGGTCGATAATTGATTGAGTTGTACAGTAGTAACTTTAAGCTTTTATTGAAGAGCTAAAAGTTTTACTGTACGTGAATTGTCTGTTTTTCATTGTAAAACAAATTTTCAACCTAACATGAGGTTGGTTCGAGAGAATTTATACGTAAGAATATACGTATGCTGACTATCTGTACAAATTGACACCCAATTGAGTTAAAATATAGCGAGTAGCTTCATTTTATTTATAAAAATCCAATGGTTTGAGATCTGGAAAGTTTTAGTGGAAGGTAAGAATTTTTTACCGGCACTTAGACTACGTAAGTTTAAATAAATTTAAAAAATGGTTTTTCACATTTACCAATTCAAACACATTTGTACAATTTATACATTTCATCTTAAAATTGAAAATAATGAAATGATTGTTGTTGTACTCAAACATGCATCAGTTCAATAAAAACGAAATTATTTTTTAAAACTAATAACTCACATAAAAACCATGATTTCACGATTTTCTCTATTCAAAATATTAATATTAGTCTTGACAGTTTTCAGTTTTCATGCTTGAACTTTTCATAAATCATCCATAACACATATACGCTGCACTTTATAGAATAAAAGTAAAGAAATTTCATAGTTGTGACTATCATTTAAGTACGTATCTTTTATTATTTAAAATTACGAAAACAATTAAATCAAAAAGACTACATGAACCTGTAATTTATAATAACCACTTTTTGATAATATTTAGATTTAAGGACTCGGAGAAGTCACTGACGCAAAATATGATTGAATCATTGTCAACACTCGCACCAAGGCATACATTTAAATTCACGTACAGTAACCAAAATATCAGTTCTACAATGTAAAAAGTATTCCAATTGTCAAACAGATGTATCAATTAATACTTTCAGCCATTAAAACTAGAAAATTCCGAGCTGCTAGAGTACTAATTAAATGAAATTTTAAACCCCCATCAAAGTTTGAAAATACAATATCGCCACAAAATAATCGCGCCTCTTATCTGCACTTTCCTCCGTTTCTATTTCCTCGAACTTTTTTTATCAGAGACGACGACGACGTCGACTTGTGTTTTTGTTTGCCAAACCAGTTCCAGGAGGAAGAGACAGTACCAGCTCGAGGCTTTATTTCGTTTACTTTAGGAAGATATGCGTGCTCGTCGATCCGACGGCCTCGTCAAAAACTCGCCAAATCCCTATACTTACCCGAACGTCGAACGCGACTATTGCTTCAGCTCCCTTTTTTCGGGGAGGAGTGGTAGAAAATGGTGCACGTGTCTTTCCCACACATACGCGCGCGCCTCTCCATCTTTTTCAGTTTCCCCGCAATCCTCGCTCTCGTGTCCAGCTTTATAACAACGCGGAGCTTAAGCTTTCGAGAAGGACTCTCCGAATTTAAGGGGCTATTTCGGAAAAGTGATGACCAAATTATGAATTTTTTTTCGGGTCGGCTGGTCCTCCCATCGCCTGGGAATGCGGATGATTTATCTTTCGCGTTTTTTATTTTTGGTCTTACGCTGGTCTTTCGATTTGAAAGGATTTCGAGGATTTATTTTTTTTATTAGTGCTTCGTTGTGATCTCAGGAGCAGCTACTTTACTAGTCAAACTATGTCGTAGAATGAATTTTGATGAATTAATAGAAACTTTTATAAAACAACGAAGGTACTTGGGAGAAAAAAAAATTGTATTTTAATCCTTTATACCTTCCGGAGTTTTAATATAGAAAAAAACATGGGATGGAGGAAGAAAAAAATAATGAAATTCCGACTCCCGCTGAGTGTACCACATCCGAGAAGTGAAATGTAAATGAAGGCCGACGAGAGTGTGCTCAAGTACTTTTGCACCGCAATTCCTCTTTTTTAATAACCTTCAGAGCACCAGTCGGCTCAGTTCGATATTGTCTCGTACTTATACGTACTAACACTCGTGTGTGCGTGTGTAGAGGGACTATGCTCGATTTTTTCTACAAGCGGGCGATCCAGCGTCTATTTTACCCACCCTTGGCTTAAACCCGTATTCTAGGAAGCTACACGTGCGTGGAGGGTGGAATTTTCACCTCCACTTCTCTCGGAGAGCGCAAAGTGAAAATCGAGCGCGAACAAAGTGCGGTCCTGGGGTAAAACGTTTTAGCGAGAAAAGCTAATTGATCGATAATCAGTGATTTGGATGCGAAGAGCATGGCTCTCTGAGGCTGTTCACTCTGATGCAAGAGTTCAAAAGATCTCAAAGCGATTTAATCATGGTAATAAAAAAGTATAATTGGTCAAGAATTTTATAGTATTCGAGTCATTTTACGTGATATTTTATAAAATTGCACTGTACGCGTTGAGGACAGAAACATTTTATTGAATAGTTGGTATTATTTTTGTCACATTTTTGAATAAAAATGAAAACTACAGCCAACCCTTGGAATTAAACGCATGATTTTTTCAATGACATTTACTTTCTCTTTGTCCAAATAAACAACAAAAGACATTATTGCTCACGGTGTACTTAAATTTTAACTTTAGAGTAATTTGACGAGATTTTTCTCATAAAATTTCATTTTTATCCTAATTGATGACTGGTTTCAGTTGATTTCCGAGTGATTTCATTACTGAGAGCCAAAATTATTTCATAGACTAAAGTGGGTTGGTATTATTTAACGAATAAATCATTCATTTTTATTATTTTCATTAAAAAACAAGAAATGTAGCCTTAATAGAGACCAGACCCTGCCTGAACATCTCCGTCTGACCATACTTGGATGTTACTACTGCCAAAAAAAAATCAATGCCCCAGTGTCAACGCAGCACGTTCGACCGAGTGAAAAAAATTGCCGAGATTAATACACCCAAGGCATTTCTCTCCCAAGTACAAGCCCATACGCATAATAATCGATAAACATGACGAGCTTCTTAACGTACGTAATAAAACATCGCGTGCGTACACGCATTGCAAGCGATAAAACGTAATTGCGCTCGATTAATCGTCATCGTGTTTTTTTTTTTTTTTTTAACATTTCACTCGTGGTATGGAATCATAATAAACACTATTCATTACAAAGTGCACTGATTAATCGAGCGTTTATTGTTATTTCGTTACGTAAGGAATGAGATTTTTAGGGTGAAATTTATCACCGCTCAAGTGGTTGTTAATCTCCTCCGTCAGCCCTCTCATTTGGTCCTTGTGAAAAAAATCAAAACCTAAACCCCAAAATGGAAAAAAATGAACCATACACCAATGCACTAAGAATGTAATAACAAAAAAAAAGAAAAGAAAAAAAAAATACCAGAACTGTACTTACGGTCTCGAGGTCGCAAGTTGTCTCGCGTCTAGCTTCGGCTCAACATAGTCGGAACAGCTCGACAGTACTGGCTGGGACGGCAGGTCTTCATTTTGAACTTGGGCATGATATCGTGCCCCTAAACGACAACTGTTGCCGATCGCCTGCCGCTTCTGCTGGCCAATTTGTTTGACCGGCTGCTTCTCATTGGGATGCTGGTGTCGTTGCTGGTTATTTTTTTGTGCTTGCTCTCCCCCTTCTTTCGTGTACCGACTCCTACAGTCATATACACATTTTTTTTCTAACTACAGTTTTCTTTTGGGAGGATAAAATGTGTTTTTGTTCACTCGAACTGACTTCTACAAGCCATAAAAATGTAAGATAAAATAAATGTAGCTATTGTTGTAGGACTAAATTTTGGGGCGTATGTTATTAATGAAAGAAACTAAAAGTACTGTACTTTTTGGTTAAATTTTCACGTTGCCATAGTCGCTCATAGCTAAACCGCTATAAAGGATGAGGCTTTAGTTGAGCTTAAGTGAAAGCAGAGAGTGAATGCATTCGATTGAAAAATTTGTATTCATTTCGATGCTCCTTATTAAAAATTACAGCAATAGCTGTTGGTAGGAAAAAATTAAATCTAATTGAAAGAAGGCATTCACTCTAAATTTTCTCAGTTACTGCGTCTCAGCTAAAAGCACAAAAATACACGTCTAAAATAAACTGGGAATCCAAGCATGAAAACCTACAATATAGTTCCAAAGGAGTTTTAAAAGAAACTAACACTCAAAATTTATACACTTATTTCATAAGTGCATTACAAACATTTTAGATAATGATTCGCTGTACAAGGTACACGTTACTAATTCCAACCCTTACTTGTGCTGCAAGGAATTTCATTTTTCATTTCAATAAAAATCCAAAAACCACGTTAATGAGTTCACAAGTTGAATCTCCTCAAACGCAAAATTAAAACCCCTTCAATTTCTCATTAGGCGCGATACAACGATTTCACGGGGTCACAGAGGAAGCTTAAAAAATCGAAGGAAGCTGGAACAAATGACGCTGGAACTCAAATTGACTTTGGCGCGCGGATTATTCATACATTCGATCGCGGGAGGGATACGTGAGCGGAAATTCCCGCTCTGGCTTTTCTGGAAAGTGCGCGCGTGTCAGTGTCACTCCGACCCTTAATACCTGCACGTCCAAAGGACCGCATGGGCACTCGTGATTTTCACGCGCTGTTTGAATCAAAAAAGTTTTTTTTTTTCCTGCCTTCAAACGAATCCAAACATTTCTAGGGAAAAAAAACATGGTCAACCGGACGCGAAAACACAAGCCTGGAAGCTGGTAGCCACGCGTGCCAAAGTGAAGATAAAAATATCCCGAAAAATCGATGCAGCGACCTGGGACTAAAGAAAAGGGACACAAGTACATGCTAGATGAAAAAAAAAAAAAAATTTTAAAAAAGGCATGCCTGGTATCCGTGTCCGGTTGACAATCGCGCCGCCGCTTGCTAGGCCTCTCCTCCACTCGTTATGCGTGTCCAAACTCTCGGTGATGATATCTCTTAATCAGGGGACACCAGTGGGTCTCTTCGGGAGTCAAGAAGGCGCACGTGGATGACGCTGTCTCGGTGCAAAAGTTGCGACGGTTCGTCCGTGAGTATACAGCGAGCAGCGGCGGCGTGCGTACTACGTGCGTGGGTGGTAGCGTACAACTGAGTGCGTAGCCGGCTGCTCGCTCGTCAGCTTCCCGGCCTGACGACTACCACCACCACCACCACCACCACCGACCCGACGGCGACGACGACACCCAGCTGCCTGACAGCTACCCTCTTTCTCCACCCCCTCTGTCTTTCTCGCTCGCCCTGCCTTGGCCTAGGCCTCGGCACCCACACCCCCCCCCCTACGACCCGTCGGCGCCTCTCCGTGCGAGCCTGCGCGCGTCCCTTGGCACTGTGTACTAGTCTGCGGGGGGAGCTGTATTGTTGTATAAGACTCATCGCTCCATCTCTATATTATTATACTTGTATCCTTTTCTTGTTCTCTTTGCTGCCGAGGATGATGATACCAATGCTTACCACTGCTAATGATATTTCAGTTTGCTGGTATGAGGATTGAATTTTTGCAGTCCCAACTCGCGCGTCAGTTATGTGCATCGTGTTCGTCGTTTGTTGGGCAGACGATGAGAGAGAGAGAGAGAGAAAATAACAGCGAGTTGCTGGCGAGCCAGTAGTGCGAGTCCGGATTTGGTCAGACGCCTGCTTGCATGGGAATGCCGGCTTGGGATGATCCTTTCTGGGGAGAAATGAGGTTTCCCGACTATACTTTGGTGGATTTGCCACAATTCACTTTGATGTGGCTTGAAGAGTGGCTGCAAATTCACAGCGTCGAAATAATTGAAATAATTGCTAGTGCGGGGTTTTCTTCGATCGGTGGCCCGAGATTCATGACTCTGGTTGAAGAGCTGTTTTTTTTTTTCTTTTAATAAGATTTTCTAAATTTTACTTCAAACGATGTACTCTGAATTAAATGAAATACATTTTTTTTGCTGATTCCTCCTGTTTACGAGAAAAAAAGAAAAAAGCGTGGAAAAAAACTACTGCGTACATTCAATCCTAAATACATTTTCGTGTAGTTTCTCCAACAAATTACCCAACACATAAATACCACAAACAACAATCAATTGAATTTCCTTTTTATTTTCAATTCAATACGTACACAATAAAAACATAACAAAATTGATCCATGAGTTTTCAAAACTCCTGTAAATTAAGTTAAAAACTTTTCTCGGGGCTCACATTTTTTACGTTCAACTTCAGGAATAAAAAAATAATTTTTAACTAGGTCAATTTCACAAAGTGTATTAAAACACGCAAAAAAAAATGATACATTGTCCTCTATGCTTTTTTTTCTTCAATTTATTGTCTTTTTTACCATTAAAAACAAAAAAATACAATTAACACGGTTGTAAGAACAACATAAAATGAATTAAAACCGCCTTCCCGCAAAAAAAACCATCCAATCTTCGGCATTGAAAATTCGGCTGAACAAAACAAAAAAAAAAAAAAAAAAAAAACAGTCTTAAACGCTTCATTAGGCATCGGCTGACTGACGGCTGGCAATTCCGAAAGAATAACTTCGTGTGTAGCATTACCAAGAAGCCGATGTAAGGAGAAAAAAAAAAAAGAAATGAAAGGGGGTGGCGGAGTGGCCTGTTCCCGCTTGTAAAGGAGCAACTCGAGAGTATCCACTTTCGGGTAGGCGTCGGATCTCCAGACCTTCCCCGAGTCCAAGGAGAGTGGGGGCTTGTGGGGGCCGCAACTGCTTATCGAACCAAGGGAGATCAAGATCGAGTGACGGAAGGTACGAGATGAGGAACAGACTGCGTGGTATACGCAACACACACAAGCTGCGGTAATCCGGACCACTTAGCTGAGCCCCGGGGCTGCTGCTCATACTTTTCCCTTGATTAGGCGATATCTCGGGCGGCTCGTGCTTTCTGTATACGGCAAAGCTACGTGCTGATCTGCTGAGCTGCGAAATAGCTGGCATTCCCCGAGTGAAAGCCGATCCTTCTTTTGAGGCTCGGGACGGCGCTTTTGGAGGTCGATTTCGAGCTGCAGACAATGGACCCTTGTGATTGTTTATCAATTTGGCATTGCGTCATTTGGTTCCTGTGTGAGAACTCCCCTCATTTTTCCCGGGAACGTGAATTGTTTTTCGTGTCCGTTGGACTCTGCTGGCCCTGATTACTTGATTCTCGATTGTTATTGGTATATTAGTTTGGCTGTGTACAGATGTCGTGGTTGAACTTTCCATACGTCACACGCGGTGATGTAATTCTAGTTTTTTTTTTTATATGTATGTTTTTTTCTGTATTTTTTATTTGATTGTTTTTGTAGGTCAACGTATTATTGGAAACGTATGTATATAACACAATTGTATCAAAATGTGATGAGACAAGTGTTAAAGGAAGAATCTAATTTGTTAGAATTTTATTTATTTGAAACTTAATTGTCACTAAATGTTTATTTACAAATAAATAAATAAGTGATGCTTGCCCTACTGAGTACACTAAATTTACTTATTTCGAAATCGAATCAAACTTTACAAACGATTCCTTTTTACAGTTGAGAGATTTATCGTTTTAGCGAGTAAAAAATTTCTTTCAATGCAATTATCGATTTATTTTACAAGTAGTATACATTGTACGGTGACAGTAATTTCATTAAAAGGAAAAGATAGAGTGCACTGTTTCTTGCTGGAGTGATCGAATAATTGCAAGCTAAAATTAAAAAAAAAATATATTATAACAATAATCCCTTCAAATTTTGTTTGAATATCGCTGAAAAATAAAAATTAGATTTTTTCTATTACTTATTTATTATACTATTATACTATTTTTATCTCGATTTTGTCAATTTTCTTGTCCAGATTACAAAATTTTGTACAAAAAATTGTATTTATATAATATTTGCAAAAGTTATGGGTGTGGGTAGATAATATCATGGATTAATTGTTTAAAATTAAGAACTGTTATGTTTTTATGAGAAAATAATATCTGAAATGAATTGAGTCTACAAAAAAATATTTAAGATAAAACAGATAATGAATCTTCGTAGTAATAAATTTGTAGCGGTTCTTACAATAATCATAAAATTTTATAATTACAACATATTTGATGTCCTATTAATTCTATGATATGTAGTTTATAAACAATTGAATAATTTTGGTTTCGTATTGATATTTGTTTACATTTCTTGTTTTTGATTTTAAAAATCACACTTTTAAGAACTATTGATAATATTTAAATACCAACCACTTATTTGACTCGTAACTAAAAAACAATTCAATCACTTATTACATCTACTACGTAAGTACAATGTGAAATATTTAAATCACAAAACCAGTTGGTAATTAAATTTGTATTTTGAACAAATTACAAAAGTAATGACTCAGTGAAAAATCAACAATGCATTCAATAATCTCATCACAATTCCCGCAACTCTAATACCATCAACAAATAAAGTAACAATCACACGAACATTGACTACCAAACATGGGAGCGCTTTTTCAGGAAAGTTAAGCAATCGCTCATCAGCTCAATCACATAAATCCCACTCTCAAGTATCAACCATTTCATCCCGCAACCCACTCCC